TTGGAGTTAATGCTCTTTTTATCAAGATAGCCGTGGTATGTGCCGGGGGGGGGGGCACGCGATTGATAAGCCGATTGTTTCGCTCGTACGTGGATTATGCAATCGCCATGAGACCCGTGGAATTGAATCACTTGTTACGTCCGTCGTGATGGTATGTTGTATAAGGGTCATCTATTGGGGGTTTTATTGGCTCGTCTCGTGGAAAATGATCCAAAGTAATAAATGATACGTATATGGTTATGGAGATGTGTAGGTATTGTTTACCCCAAAGATTCTCAACTCGCGGTAGGGAAATTATATACTTGCACAATTTTAACGGAGATGACAACAGGAAGCGCATCGCCTACTCTTCCGTAGTTTGATAAGGGTAGTCCCTCCCTCTCTTTCTGTCGTTGCTTGTCCTCTTCGGAAGTCGCACTGTGTTGCACGGATATGATAATGTTACTTTCGACGTGCATGAATTAATTTTTTTTTTTTTGCCCCTTTTTTTCATTTGAACGTTTATTATTGAGAATTAACATACCAAACACTCACGGCTGTACTGTAATTGTATAAGAAAAATTGGTTTGATATCGGTAGAACGGAATCGTATTTTCAAGAAATTCCTGAATGGGAATCGTGATTTTTTCGTAAAATCACTTGCGCAGATACGTGGACCGACAATTAACACAACTTCCCATCGGATTGCAATCGCAGAGAACATGCGTGGAAGTGATTTCACGGGGGATGCCAACTCAAGTGTCGAGGGGAAACCAGACCCCATGCACAAGGATCAAAGTCCAACGCTTTTGGCTGTATATTCAGGTTCATATTTGAGTTTTGGCGGATACCTGTTTGTAATAGTTTTTCCGTGTATTGTGAAAGAGAAGAAAAAAAAAAAAAGAAAAAAAAGAAAAGTACATAATTAAACGAACGAGCGGCTAATATAACGCGAGTCGTGTGCGAGCGATCGATGTGAAAAAGCGCCGCAGGAAATGCATCTAAGCCCCCGCATCTGCCGAAGATAAGCCTGTAACTTCAGAGCGGAGTCGACGACGCGACGCTCGTCCTCTCGTATCCGCTCGCTCGCGCGTGTATATATTTACAAATACACGTATATATGTATATATATATCTCTTTTTCCCTCTTATCGCTCAAGTACCGAGTCCACGAGACTTTTTTTTTTTTCCCTTCAATTTTTTTGCTCTCTTACGGATGCATACATTATACATACACGCGCACAACCTGCAGTGANGTAAGTTTTTTTTTTTTTTTTTTTTTTTTTTTTTTTCCTTCAGTCGACGATCGGTACCGAAACGTCGTTTGATTGAAACACGCTGGAAGCTTTCACCCAAAAATAAAGGTACATCGCTTTAATACCGATACACATGGTGTTTATTTCCTCTTGACAGTAAAACAAAAATTTTAATTTCAACAGAATACGTTCAAAGTCCCGATATTGCAGCAGCTAAGTGAGTTCCCAAGGGCTTCTCGACAATCGCCAACAAACGCATACGTAGCTAAAGAGAAAAAAAAAAAAAAAAAAAAAAAACAAACAAAAGCTCCAGAGGAACACGCCCAAACCAAAACGCTCTGTGATATCACGGCACGACGGCACACATAAAGTGTAATTTTAGATTCGACGCGGAACAATCGGCTTTTCCAAGCTCGTTTATTTTTTTTTTTTTTTTTTTTTTTTCCGAGAACTCGCGTACTTATTAATATTGAGTTATTCCCTTGTGTCTCACGTGATGCGCTCATTAAACAAAGAAATACACCACACTTGATATAGCTCCTTTGTCGACGCATTCGCATCTCGGGCACACAACTGATATTTTCCGAGATCTCGATAATTGATCGAAGATGAGCTTTCGGCTCAATGAGAGATGTTGCGCAAGCATGTACAACTGCAATAAACGCGCGATAGAAGCGACGCGGCGCATCAGCCGCGAGTCAACGATCTCGGCGACAAGGGGTCCAAACGGGGGAGAGCGCACGCGGTACACGCATTGGAAATACCTCGAACGTGATTAAATAGCCGGGGTACAACAACCTCGGAAAAGCTGGCCGTTCGCCAAAACTATCTGCAAGACAAACAATTCGCCGTCTATTTTGAAACAACAACAATACGAAGCGATGTCGCTCGAGGCCAAAGTTGCTTTTTGGTGAGAATACATTGCATGCGCATCGCGTAATATGATTACCCCGTGACTGCCGAATCATCGCCGACTGCCTTCGGAACATCGATAAGTAGGCGTCGAAGCTTCCCCGAAACGAAGAGCCGAATATTTATCCGACTTGCATTACGCGATACTTTTTTTTTTGTCCCGAAAGAGCCCCTATCGCAAGCTTTATTTATTTATTTATTTTTTTTTTTTTTGGAGCACCAGATAAGGAACTTGCATTGCAANAGTAGGCGTCGAAGCTTCCCCGAAACGAAGAGCCGAATATTTATCCGACTTGCATTACGCGATACTTTTTTTTTGTCCCGAAAGAGCCCCTATCGCAAGCTTTATTTATTTATTTATTTTTTTTTTTTTTGGAGCACCAGATAAGGAACTTGCATTGCAATCGCGCAAAATACCGGTTATTCTTTTTCCCCAATAAATACATATATTGCATGAATGTAGGGAGCAAGTGAAATAATCAGCGCTTCTCGCGCTCGTTCGTCGAGAGGAAAATACCGTGAGTCGTCGGCCAAGGGGGAGATGATGATGCATCGACTATAAATATATATATACACGTCTTTCAGATAAGACGAACACGTTGAAAAATTAATAATTGTATTTATTTTTCCAGAGAAGCGGATAAAACTTCCGTCTACAGCACACACGTCATCTTAGGCCTTGAGAAATATCTATTTTGTGAAAATATATGTCGTAATAATAGAAGGGCCATTAATTACGTCTATTTTTTCACTGTGTTTCACGTGTTTGTATGTTTTAATGCGTTGAAAATATTTAAAGACACTACTCAAGTTAACTTTTATACATTTCAACACGACGAGCAAAAAAACATGAAATTCCATTCAAAAACTTTCATCACTTTGAACAATTTTGTTGTTGACGTGAAATATTGTAGAAAAACCGAAAGTACGCGCACACGAGCGAACCAGCTTTCATTGAGGCCAGAGCGTGATATATTTTTCCTATACGGGCAGGTAACGAAAAATCGCCTATTCCTTTCAAAATTGAAAAATCTCAACTCGAAATAGCCGCGATGAATATCGGTACTCTTCAATAACGCATTCATCAAGGTCGACGGGCATTTTTCACAGCCTCTCGTTAATCATCATTTTTGCATTCGATTGTCTTCTTCTCTCTTGGATCCTGTACCGCGTATGCACAAACTCCCACGCACTAGCTATGGTGAACCTGAGGACGCGCGCCACCTACGCCGCACAAACCTAATTCGCCACTAAACGCGCATCACTTGCGATCACGGGCGTTTTGTTATTTTAAGGATTTTCAAGATTACCACCCACGTGGAAACACGATCAAAAGCTCTTCGAGCTCTTAAACAGGCATATATATACACATCCAAACAAAAGTTCTTTTGGATATTTTTTTTCAACGACTTTTCGAATAGACGAGATCATTGTTTCCATTCAGGCCAAAAGTCTCGAAAATGGCACTAACTGAGAAATAACCTATCTTGGCAGAATGAAAACATTTAAGTCAGACAATGAAATTAAAAGTTTTAACAGAATACTTTTCATGCTTTGGACTAGATGAAAATAAAAAAAATATATATTTCTGCCTTTTTTTTGTCCTTCCCCAAACAAATGGCACTTTCTCCTCTTCCAAGTCAAACGTGCATCTTTCGAGATCCAATCTCAATCGTTTATACACGGGCACCACGTCTTCTTAAATATTCCATTTGGAACGCAACACGTGCGACGAATTTCGCGCTCCAACTTTCTTTTTTTTTTTTTCGCTAACGCGCTGTAGATGCAATTAAAATGAGGCAGATGTTGTACGCCCAAGCGTGCACATTTTATTCACTAACGCGTTTCCTTTCCCTCATTCTGATCTACCACTTATCGTTGGGTTGTTTTTCTGTTACGTCGAGAAAATTCCACATACTTGGGTAAAATTATTTAGTGGCCTTTTAAGACCTTAAATAATAAAATTTTATTTCCTAAGTGAAATGCATTGTTTTTGCTGCAAAAAATCTTGCTAAGCACGGCATTACGGGTAGGAATTAAAATTTTTTTTTTTTGGTACTTGGCAAAAAATTAGGTTTTTACATTTTGCTGAATGCTTTGGAGGTAGTAAAAAAGTTACCGGATGCCTACTTGATGTACCAATTCAGAAATCACGATGACTTTTCGAGATGTTTGTGAAATTGTTTTGCAAAATTTAGCACCAAACGGTCACGTATCCACTATATAAATCTCGGCTAATAAATTCTTGAAACGTAAGCCCATGGTTTTCTTAGAAACACAAGAGCTAAAATTAAACAAAAAAACAAAAGTTCTAGTAGGTAGGCATACCTCTAATACATATAGAGCCTGGGTTGTTACGTGTAGGTAAAAATATTCCTCGCAATAAAAATTTACTTTCGTATTAAATGGGTGGGCACGCGCATTAAAAATATTTCAAACGGAGGCTTGACACCCACGAGCTTCTCTTGAAGAATGAATGGGGGAAAAAAAAAAAAAAAACTTATTTTTCTTATTGCTAAATACATTGATATTACGTATTGCATAAGAGCTCCATCCTGCACGTATAATTCATTCTGATCACCTACGCCGTGCACCATCGCAAACACACTTACCTTCTTCGAAATCTTTACACGAAAAAGCACAAAATTTTTAAAGCTTCAAAAAAAAGTGGTGGCTCACCCGTAAATAAAACACCAAAGTACTGCCCTGCAATTTAATGTGTTATTATCATCATTATTCTCGCGAAAAATCGATTCGCCCACTCTCTCTCTCGTAAATTATTTTCGCCCGCAAAACTGGGTTAAAGGGCCCCTCCGACGTATGACGCGTTATACATAACTCGTGCAAAACTCACCCGTAGTCCTTTCTCGCCCGTAAGTCCGAACTCACCGGACTGGCCCTTTTCGCCCTTGGGGCCTTCGGGGCCGTCCGGGCCCGTGTCTCCAGGCTCCCCCTCTGGGCCCCTCACTCCGGGGATACCCATGTGGCCCACTTCTCCTTTGATTCCCTTGCAGTCGCATTTGTAGTCCTTGCACGTCTGAAACAACAAATCATTACCATAGTTTTTACCTCATACGCTCGTACATTTCACGGGGATTTGGTTGTCAAGCATATCAGGGACGAAAGTTGAAGGAAAAAAAAACTCTTAAAGTTCGCCGAGGCGATAAATCAAAAGTCGAAACAGATAGAATCGGCGGCTGAACGGTTCGCTCATAGGTATATTATACAACATATATTATGTGCGTGCCATATCGGAGTATTTAAATGGCCTGCGTCTGACATTGTCACTATAAACGGGAAAATGTTTTTTTTTTTTTTTTTTTTTTTTTCCGAGAACTCGCGTACTTATTAATATTGAGTTATTCCCTTGTGTCTCACGTGATGCGCTCATTAAACAAAGAAATACACCACACTTGATATAGCTCCTTTGTCGACGCATTCGCATCTCGGGCACACAACTGATATTTTCCGAGATCTCGATAATTGATCGAAGATGAGCTTTCGGCTCAATGAGAGATGTTGCGCAAGCATGTACAACTGCAATAAACGCGCGATAGAAGCGACGCGGCGCATCAGCCGCGAGTCAACGATCTCGGCGACAAGGGGTCCAAACGGGGGAGAGCGCACGCGGTACACGCATTGGAAATACCTCGAACGTGATTAAATAGCCGGGGTACAACAACCTCGGAAAAGCTGGCCGTTCGCCAAAACTATCTGCAAGACAAACAATTCGCCGTCTATTTTGAAACAACAACAATACGAAGCGATGTCGCTCGAGGCCAAAGTTGCTTTTTGGTGAGAATACATTGCATGCGCATCGCGTAATATGATTACCCCGTGACTGCCGAATCATCGCCGACTGCCTTCGGAACATCGATAAGTAGGCGTCGAAGCTTCCCCGAAACGAAGAGCCGAATATTTATCCGACTTGCATTACGCGATACTTTTTTTTTGTCCCGAAAGAGCCCCTATCGCAAGCTTTATTTATTTATTTATTTTTTTTTTTTTTGGAGCACCAGATAAGGAACTTGCATTGCAATCGCGCAAAATACCGGTTATTCTTTTTCCCCAATAAATACATATATTGCATGAATGTAGGGAGCAAGTGAAATAATCAGCGCTTCTCGCGCTCGTTCGTCGAGAGGAAAATACCGTGAGTCGTCGGCCAAGGGGGAGATGATGATGCATCGACTGCACTCCATTATACACCCTTTATCTCAATCTCGCCGCGCGTGTACACTTTTTATGCGTAACACGTAACACATTGCAAAGTTTGTCGGACTTGTTTACGCGCACCCTTACGTTTACGTATATGGAAAAAGGATAAAGTTACGTGTTACGCGCATCCACATTATTTGGTGGGCACGTCTCGGCGGAGCGAAAGAAAGGCACCGCGTATCTCCCCCTGTTCACAGACTCGTCTCGCTCCGAGGAGACGAGTCGTTCCCGAAGGCATGGAAAAAAAGAAGAAAAAAGAGCCATAGATGGCCGGGAGGGGCGAGAAAAAAGAAAAAAAAAAAAAAAGGCTTGGGTAGGTAGATGCACCCTTTCGGCCGCAGGTGGTGACAGATACGGGAGAAAATCCTCCAAGTACAAGATGTACACGCGTGTATACGGCTCCCCATGAACGGGACGTTTGCCCAATTTCGCGCGTAACGTGTTCCCTGCGACCTCGAACCGGTGCCCGACAATTTCTTGGTGTAACGTATTCGTTCGCGAGTAACTCCGGACCGGTGACACGACAAAACGCGGAGAGAGAGAGAAGGAGGAGGGACGAATAAATCATTTATGAGCGGGCCGTGCGTTTATAAATACGACTCTCTGCCCAGCTTTTCCTTGGCTTTTACACGGCTCTCTCGCATGGAAATCCAATCGGCTTGAGCTTTTTGAAGTTTCGGGGGGAGCGTGGGTGATCAAGCCCGAGAAATTGAAATAGAAGGGAATTTTATTTGGGCGCGGGTATACACCGCCACACCGGCGTGTGTTTTCGTACACGAGCTCACTTTCTTCTGATACCCGACTCTCCTTCTTCTTTCTTTCTTTTTACAAGCAGGCGCTTGGGATTCCAATTTGTAGCGCGTACTTTTCGTTGTTTTGTTTCACGCGTTTTTCCAAAAGAGCCGTAAAAATAGCCGCGGGGGCGACACGGTCGGGGGAATCCCCCTTTTCAGCTTTTCTTCCACCCGAGCACGCCGTTATCATTTGGATCGTGTACGACGGAGGGAACGGTGATCGCGAAATTTTCAACGATCCAATCGAGCTTGATTTCCTGCGTGACACGCCCAACACGTGGTCATCTTTCCTCATCAAACAGAATGAAAAAGCACTTCGATGTAAATGCTCTCGGGCTGAATCGGTGCAGCTTAAGTATGGGCTGCCATCAAACATATCAGAGCTTACGAATCGTCGTTTTTCAAAACGAATAATCCCGAATGGTGCGTGCAGGGAATCTTTAATTGAATTCGTGACGATTTACACCTGTAGTATTGTCATTTGAGCTGTTTCCGAGGAGGGAGTGTACACTGGCATGGAAATTAAGTCACTCGTTGAACCATCTGTGCGTTCGATGATATAATTCAAGTGTCCGAAAACGCTAACATTATTACATACTTCGTGACATTCCGCTCGAATGCGATAGCGACGATAATCACGATCACGCGGCCCTTGGCTTTCCGTCACGTGACCGAAACGGCTTAATTTCACACGTATACACACCAGCAGATGCTCGAAATATCGTGCGCACACGTTTGGGATGGAGGGAAAAAAAAAAGATTAGTGATGCTCGTGAAGAGGAAAGAAAAAAAAAAAAAAAAAAAGAATATAACGTCAAGAGACGTGAGTCACAAGCGCTAGTGAGATTAAAAAAGCTCGAGGAGCTTTTCAGCGTGTGATTACGCTCGGGGCGCGCGGTCTTGGAGTTATGGGCTTCCCCTAGAGTCGTGATGTCCGTACGAAAAACCATTTCGGTGTACCGGGGCACGGGAAAGCCAAGGGGCCATATCTCTCTGTGATATCACGGCACGACGGCACACATAAAGTGTAATTTTAGATTCGACGCGGAACAATCGGCTTTTCCAAGCTCGTTTGTATAAAGTTTTACGAGCACGGGTTAATTTCGACGCCCCTTTCGTCCTCGTTACTCATGCGTACAAGTGCTTTCACCGTAGCAGTACCCACGTACCTTACGACTGTTTGTTGATTTTCATGCTGCAAACTTATTATTCATTTATTATCTCCTGAAAACCGACGAAAATAACAGTACACCGATAATTAATTGACAACAGATATATACATATATTTCAGTTGTTTACGTGACATTCGAGAAGCTTCGCGACATTGCACGTTGAAGGACGGGGATTTCCTAGTTAACCACGCGATCAGCGTAAATGTGGTAAGTACAGGCTTGAGAGAAATATCTTAACAAGAGACACATACTTTCATCGATTCTCCCTGTGATCTATATGTATACACCTCTCGATTAGCCGAAACGATAACCAAAACACCGCTCCTCCACCCGTTAAGTACACCCCCCTTTAGGAGGGTTCGTTTTTTTATCGACATTTAAAGTGCTTCGATGGTCGATGGTACGCTTCCGTCGAATCCCAAATGACGCGGTTGTTCAAGAGGTTTTTTACTTTCATCATCCGCGTAAGAGGATGTTTTTCTTTTTATTTTGGCACTACGTTGATTGGAGACAAAGTTTATCGACTCGTTTATTTTGTACTTGGTCAATCTAACGAAGGTCACTCCGGTAAAAACCCAAGATTTCATGTAATCAATCCCATGCGTCCTATTTGGCCATACGAAAACAATACTCTTGACTCTCTCGACCTTTCCTCGAACAACAATTCAGTAATAACACAACAATCGAACAACGGTGCTCTCAACTAATTAAAACATTTTCAGCCGATATGCGAACTAATAACGAGACGTGCGAGCGTATAAGATTATTGCTTCAACTGATAGGTTTGTTGTTAAGTACAACGTAAAGTGCTCGTTTCAATTCGTAGTCACTCTAACGATAATACGAGAGTAAACACACGAATTTGTTGTTGTAGCTTTTGAAAGATACTCGTATCAAAATTATCGCGAACTTCGTGTGGCTCGTGTGTTGAGATTACCCTACATTCGTCGCCGCGTTACGTTTTGTCCTTACGAAACATATACCAAACAAGGTCGAGTGTTTCTGCCAAAAATAAAAAAATAAAAACAAAAAAAAAAATATCAAATTTTCGTGATACTTGGTTGAAATTTTATCTCCGTGGTTTGATAACAAAGTTTCTACGTTATTCGTTTGAGCAAATCGAAGTATAAAACACTTTCAACGCCAAAAAAAAGCTCATCTTTTTTGCCAGGCTTGAAAAAAAAAAAAAAAAAAAAACGTCCATCGACCAATCAACTTTTGGGCAGAGCAAGCCATTTTCCTTGACGCGAAACCATTTTACTATAATACTTGTTGGCTGAACGGAACAAGCAGCTATACGATTCGTAGGTGTCCGTATATATACATGATACAGTGAAAGAGCTTTCGCCTCGAAACTTTTTTGAGGAATCACTTTCTCGCGCGACGAGTAGGCAGATACGCGTTTTAAAACCCTTATCGGAGGGACCTACTTTCTTTAGGATACGGGTGTACACGTATCGAAGAAAAAGTGCCCTCGGTCCGCGCAGTGTGCACCTAATATCATATTGTAATCGTCATTCTTCCGTTGCAGTCGCAGGTAACGAACGAAGAAGAGAGAGAGAGAGAAAAAAAGAGATGCGCTCATTCTTCGAATCGCGAAATCAAAATGTACCTACGAGACGCGTCATTGATGAATGATTAGCCACCACTGCATGCAGGTAAAGAAGCAGTGTGACACGTAACTCGTGACCTCGACTCTCAAGTGCAAAATCGTACAGGCGTGGGTCTGTGGGGTATACCGTCGTGGGCGGCGGTGTTGTATTATAGCTACGTACAAGCGTTGCGCGTATACGTGTCCTTTTTTTCCTTCTTCTTCTTCCACCAGCACGCGTTGTACACATTATATACGCGGC